CGCATTCTTGTCCATCTTTGAAAAATCACAATAATAAATGGACGCAATAATATCTGAATTTACAGTACCAAACTTAACTCAGAACAACGATCCATGACTCATGTCTTACCTTGTTAAGGGCAAATCTATTGAAATCCTTTAACAGCAGTGGTTAAATGCGTTTGAAGATATCTCAGGCACTTGTCTCAGAAAAAATTTCCTATATACCTTAATATAACACAAGGTACTTAACTCTCATTTTTGAAAAATGTAACCCAGTCGCGAAATTTCTTTATATATTTCAATTTCTCGGTGGTCAACCCCACTAAAATTTGTTATGCCGTAAATCTAAATTGATTTATCTACACAATGGTATATAACATTCCTACCTTTGTTGTCGGAATCATTCGTAGCAGGCCTACCAAAGTATGTCAACCGTAATTATTTCGTCTACTGACACTCTATTGGAAAATTAAGACTCGCAGTAAATGATTAATTATAAAAAGTATTTAAATAAAATGCTCCGCAGGGCGCAGTTTGATACGACCGCAGAGGTCGAACCCTGAACAGTTGGGGCAAGTATGGACACAACATTCAAGCTTGATACAGCTTTGCATTTGGATTGTGATTAAATATTTGACACAGCATAGGTTTCTGACACAGAATGAATGTGGTCTAAGAACTGAAAAAATTTAAATTGGACATTCACCTATTATGGTCCAATATCCAAAATCTAAATACATGTTTAGATTCAGCATATCAAAGAACCCCAAGAATTCAATTTTTGATGAAATCAAACAAAGTTTAATTTTGGACCCTTTTGACCTCAATGTGGACAAAGTTGATAACGGGGCCCAAAAATCAAAAATCTAAATACATGGTTAGATTCAGCATATCAAAGAACCCCATATATTCAATTTTTGTTGAAATCAAACAAAGTTTAATTTTGGACCTCGATTTGGACCAACTTGAAAACTGGGCCCATAATCAAAAATCTAAATACATGTTTAGATTTAGCATATCAAAGAACCCTAAGAATTCAATTTTTGTTAAAATCAAACTAAGTTTAATTTTGGACCCTTTGGACCTTAATGTAGACAATTTGAAAACGGTACCAAAAATTAAGAATCTGAATACACGGTTAGATTCGGCATATCAAAGAACCCCAATAATTCAATTTTTGATGAAATCAAACAAAGTTTAATTTTGGACCCTCTGGACCTCAATGTGAACCAATTTAAAAACAGGGCCCAAAATCCAAAAACTTAATACACGGTTAGATTCAGCATATTAAAGAACCCCAAGAATTCAAGAATAAAACCCCATTGAAATTGGTCAAGAAATAAGCAATTTATAGGAAGTATCTTCTTTTGCACAACACTGTGCAATTAAATATTTCTTGCTATTGCGCAATACTGTACAATTGACAATTTCTTGCTATTGCGCAATATTGTGCTATTGGATATTTCTTGCTATTGCGCAATACTGTGCAATTGAAGATTTCTTGCTATTGCGCAATACTGTGCAATTGAAGATTTCTTGCTATTATGCAATACTGTGCAATTGAAAATTTCTTGCTATTGCACAATACTTATTATATAATAATTTACACATCCTGTTTGGTGTGTATCTCCTACCATACCATTATTATTTGCTTTTAAATATAAATCAGAAATAACCAACTTAAAATGGAAAATTTTAAAAGAAAAAAAAAAGGAAAAATAAAAAAATCCCCCCCCCCAAATTTTTTGAACCCCCTTATGATTCATCACCCCCAAACTCAATCCAAGCCTTCCCTTTGTGGTATGGTACCTTGCAGTACAATTTCAGAGAGATCCATACACTTGAACACAAGTTATTGTCTGGAAACTAGAAAAATGTGTTTTTTGACCCCTTTTTGGCCCCAAATTCCTAAACGTTTAGGGTAATTACCCCCAAACTCAAACCCAGCTTTCCCTTTGTGATATGGAACCTTGTAGTACAATTTCAGAAAGATCCATACACTTACACACAAGTTATTGTCCTGGATCTAGAAAAATGCTTGTTTTTTGCCCCTTTTTGGCCCCTAATTCCTAAAATATTGAGGCAATTACCCCCATCATCAATCCCAGCCTTCCCTTTGTGGTATGGTACCTTGCAGTACAATTTCAGAGAGATCCATACACTTGAACATTAGTTATTGTCTGGAAACTAGAAAAATGCTTATTTTTGGCCCCTTTTTGGCCCCCAATTCCTAAACGTTTCGGCAATTACCCCCAAACTCAATTCCAGCTTTCCCTTTGGGATATGGAACCTTGTAGTACAATTTCAGAAAGATCCATATACTTACACACAAGTTATTGTCATGAAACTAGAAAAATGCTTATTTTTTGCCCCTTTTTTGGCCCCTAATTCCTAAAATTTTGAGGCAATTACCCCCAAAATCAATCCCAGCATTCCTTTTGTGATATGGAACCTTGTGGTACAATGTCAGAGAGATCCATACACTAACACACAAGTTATGTCTGGAAGTTACAAAAATGCTTATTTTTGGCCCCTTTTTGGACCCTAATTCCTTTACTGTTGGTACCATGACCCCCAAAATCAATCCCAACCTTCCTTTTGTGGTATTGAACCTTGTGGTAAAATTTCATAGAGATCCATTCACTTAAACTAAAGTTAGAGTGCGAAAACCAATGTGTCTTCGGACGACGACGACGCCAACGTCATACCAATATACGACCACAAAAATTTTTTTGGGGTTGTATAAAAAACTTGTCTGAATAGAACTTGTCATCCAGATAGCAAATTTGTAAAAGATTCCGTGAAAAAAATCATAACAAGTGTTATTTGAGGTATGTCTAATGAGTTACGAGTTTCTATTTTTAGACCAAATTTTCCCTTTGCATCAATGTCATTCAGACTCTATCTGGACTTTACATATAAAATGAGATAAGATCAGATAACTCAGAGAAATATTTATTTTTAGCTATAGACCTTCCCATAAAATTTGACCAATCGGAAACTGAGATATATAAAGTGAGTGGAAAGATACCTTTTACTGCAAGTCTTACATTTCCAATCAAGTGTTGGTAGATGAAATAATTACGCTTGACATACTTGGGTAGGCCTGCTACGAATGATTCCAACAAAGAAAGGAGGGCGTGTTATACACCATTGTGTAGATAAATCAATTTAGATTTACGGCATAACAAGTTTTAGTTGGGTTGACAAACAAGAAATCGAAATATAACGGAATTTCGCGACGGGGTGACATTTTTCAAAAATGCGAGTTAAGTACCTTGTGTTATATTAAGGTATAAAGGAAATTTTTTTCTGAGACAAGTGCCTGTGGAAGATACGCCTAAATCATGCAATTACCAAAACATTAAAACTGATTACAACTTAGAGCCATACTTGAAAAAATGTTGTCAAGACAACAAAGATCTGTGATTGCCAGATGCGAAGTGGAACTTTACCTTTAGAGATTGAAAAGGGTACATTTCGAACTGTGCCACTTGACCAACACCTATTTAAAATGTGCAAGTCTCAATCCATAGAGGATAAGTTTATGTTGTATTGTAAATGCTATGAAAGATTGAGAACAACACTATTCAATGACATCTGAGACAATTACAACATCGATTTAAATACGCTACCAGTGAACCTAAGATAAAAACCTTTATTTTGTAATTACAGGAAGCACGTTTTTAACTTTATTTTTGATTGTTTTACTATCAGACAGCCTGTGGTCAATTGATATCGTGCCAAACTATATTTTCATCTAAATTTGAACTTATTTTTCTTTTCAATAATGAAAGCATTATGCGTATCATATCATGACTGTGCATCATAAGCCTATTTTGGCTTGCAGAAAATCACTTGTTTATTTGAATATAATTGTTTGTTATAAGTCAGGTTGCATTTTAATATTAAAATATTCATTCATTCATTCATTCATTCATACTAATTTATAATAAACAGCTGCGCCATGAGCGCATGATACGCCCGTCGTCTTGTGTGTGAATTTTTATGCAATAAGCATAAATAGTTTCTGACATATGGCGTGACATGCAAAAACCTCCTTTTTTTTTTTACAAAAAACTCAATATCTCTAAAATAAAATTTTGAATCAAAACCAAAAAGTATACAGATCTTTAGATTAATATAACAAAGAAGTGTGTAAAATTTTAAGCAATAATCATAAATTGTTTTTGAGATACGGCGCGACATGTGAAAAAAAACACACACCTGTTTTAGTTACTAAGTCCCGTAACTCAAAAAGTTTTAATCATATTTTCACCAAAAAGTATACAGATCGTTTGACCATAATAAGAAACAACTATCTTAAGTTTCAAGAGATTTGGATAAGTCATTCTCAAGTTACGGTGCGACATGTTAACGCCGGACAGACAGACGGACAGATAGATGGATGGACAGACGGACGGACACCGGACATTTGTATACCATAATACGTCCCGTCAAAAATTGACGGGCGTATAAAAACTGTTTGTAATAGATCAATACATAATCCCAGATCTAAACATGCTGTATTTCAAGGTTACAGTCTATGGATTTGACCTTTTGAACTTGATGCAAACAGGCTTCAAAAGAGGAATTATCTCTGTTTCTCTCTCTCTCTCTCTCTCTATATATATGTATATGTATAAAACAGATGTCAGGTAAATGTCATTGAGATAATAACCCAAGTTCAACACACACAAAAAGTGAAAAGACATCTAGAATTTTGAAAATTTTATCTCTTCATGGAATTGACTATTGACCTTATTTTTTTCTGAATGTGACTATTAATTCTTATCATTACAATACAGGTATATTCTTATAGCAAATAGTTTCTGTCAACTTTAAATTTTAAGTGTGTGTTGTGTGGTGACATTAAACTCAAAAAGAATAAAAGACATGGAGTAGGAATGGTAATGAGATTACAATCCATCCCAGACAAACGGAAGTCACATGTCCTTTACATCTTTGGTAACTGCTGTTCAGTTAACTCCCCTCAGAAGGAAAAATAAAATATTTACCAAACATCTGTCTTTGTAGAGAAAATACCATCCAAAAAAGCTTCTGGGGGCATCCATTTGATAGGTAACATGGCTTTACCACCTTTTTTGTAATAATCTGACCTGAAATAATAAAACATAGTCTGCCAGATGAACTTTGTCTTCAAACTTATCTTTTCAATAATTCATATGTTTTTGTTTGAGCTTTTTAATGAAAAGGAATCAAACAAAAAATTTTCTACCGTACCTTAGCACCTTTAAAGTGAAAATTGCACTACTATTGCTTTTGATTTATAAATAAGGCATGAAGTATTATTGATTAAGAAACTTTGATAAAAACATAACCATTGTTACATAGGTACTTAACAGAGTGGATGATATTTTGATTTTTCCAAAGGCTTAACAGACAAATGTCATATCTATGTTAAATATTTCCAGGGTTTCTTTGTCAAGACTAATAATATTTTACGTTTCTGTTTGAGAATATCTTACTCCTCAAGAATTTTTTAATTTTAAATACTATATATCTTTTGCCATACCAAAATTTTTAAGAGTGTACCTGTTTACGTCTTTTGTCTTATCAAAATGTTTGAGAAAATACCTGTATATGTCTTTTGTCTTATCAAAATGTTTGAGAAAATACCTGTATATGTCTTTTGTCTTATCAAAATGTTTGAGAATGTACCTGTATATATCTTTTGCCATACCAAAATTTTTGAGAAAATACCTGTATATATCTTTTGTCATACCAAAATCTGCTATCTTGCATTTTCTGTTTGGTCCTTTACATGTTAATAGACAGTTTCTGGCAGCTATATCCCTGTAGACAAATATGGACATTATTTAACATTCTATCCTCTAATTGGCATGTCTTATGGAGTGATTTTTGTTTTCTAATGAACTGAGACCTTGAAACAGAGTTTAATAAACTAAATAAAGCTGGCATTGTTCATCAGTTTATCATGTTTTGTGCAAAGTAACAGAATAACTAGATTTCATGGCTGTATTTATTACCATCAAGAACATTTCCGTAAAAAAGTTTATTGTCTTCCAATTAATTCTCCAATGTAAAAGTGCACAATAAATGTATGTATTCTAGGAACTACTTGATTCCACCTCCTTTAATTCCTTATGTGTGTTGTGTAGTATGCAGGGAAATAAGTTTTCTGTAAACTGCAAAGGGAGATAATATTACAACAAAGGAATGATACTTTTATTGATGTTCTTTAATCCAGATGATCATTGTTAATTAAGTCTCACAAAACAAAATGGCCCCTATCATTGAGTTCAGCAGTCTTTCAATACATTAGTGGAAGAACAATTGAGTTAATAATTATTTATAAAATCATTGAATGGACCTTTTATCAACTACTTCTAGACAACACTTAAGTTTAAAGCACCATTAAACATAAGGAAATTATATTGGTCAATTCTTGGTTGTAACTATATCTTCTCACCTGTGGATAAAATGTTTATCTTCTAAATGTTGACAACCTTTGGCAATATCTATGGCTATCTTGAGCAAGTCTATACATGTCAAAGATGGTGTCATGTTTCCCTATAAAAAAAATAAAAAATAAAAAACAAACTTTAATATGTATCAGAATTGAAACAACCCCAAAAATGGCATAAATCAGTCTGGATACTTTAATACTATACCAGGAAATTACTGTAATCATTATCTTTGGAAATAAACTCTTTGATATTTGATTTAAATAAATGTGTTTGATGGGTAGAACAAACTTCACAGGGGGTCAGGGGCTCTTAGATAATTCTTCAAAAAAAAAGTTGGAATAACAGATAACTGGATGTAAATGATAATATGAAGGATATTTTGTTGTCAGTCTTTTGAAAAACTTAGACTTGAAGAATAATTCCAAAATAGTACAATCCATAGTGTGTATACTAAATTCTGCTTGTAATATTAATCTTACCTTTAAACTCATTGATTTTGGTCTCATTTCTCGTAGGAATGTTTTTAAATCCCCACCTTCTAATAACTCGAGAATAATGTACCGCGGATGACATTCAAAACACACACCAATAAACTTAACAATGTTTGGATGCTGAAATTTACTGAAAAAAAGGAAATAGTTATACAGACAAGGGCTCTAGGAGGTACCCTTCCAGGGTATAATATTCCCAAATCCTGAATTTTTGCTCATAGATCAGCTTTCAATCCTGCAGACAATTCATTTAAACATACTAATACTAAGATCATTTTGATAACAATTTTTAAAGAGCAAAATTATGTTTAAGATAATGGACATACAACACTATAACATTCTCTAAACTGTCTGTCTCAACCTATATGTATAGGATATATTACAATGCAATGGGAGTGGGGAAATAGCAACAACAAAACTCATAGAAATCTTGTTTTATAGTTGTATAGGGCGATTGATCATTTCATCTGGATCTAAAATATAAAGATATAGTTCTATGGGGAGATAGAATAAATTCATTGCATCTGGATCTAAAATATGAAGACTTCTATATTTTCATAAAAAATGAACAGAATTGTTTCCCATTTGGTCATGCTTTTTATAGCTTATTTATATAATAGAGTATAGATTTTGCTAATTGTTAAAGGCCATACAGTGTTTTATACTTGTTTACATCTTCCTCCTTTAGTCTCTGGTGGATAGTTCGTCTCATTAATGACAATCATATCTCCTTATTTGCTATATAGACCATTCTAACATCCATACTACAAAATGTTTACCATGTAAAGTAAATCTATTAAGTTTTGTTCCATTGATAATTAAATCATAGGAGAATTCGAGTTGACAAACACATGTGTCCAGCCAAAAGATCAAAGTTGATTTGTAATTAATTCATTGGAAGTTGTTCTCTGTGATCTTTAATGTATTGTTGACAAACATCTGATTCATTATAATACTTTCTTCTAACCCTCACATTGAGCTGATTTCATCCCTATTTCTAATTAGTTTTCTAAACAGGCGTTAATTTTTCCTTTTAAAATACAAATTTCTCCAAGATTTATTAGGAATCTTTAAATGTAACATACAGCCAGGTCAAGGAAAACTACTTAATTTGTAATTTCCTTTTTAAATATAAGGGCTATATAAATTCTCCATGGAAATTCATGATTATAAAGAATTTACGAAATTAAATTAGCTAAAACAGATCTTATAACACTGCTTCAAGGGTATAAAGCCATTAGTTATTTTCAAATTTTCTTAAACAATTCAATGCTCAAAATTTTGTGAAATTCACTGAAATAGGCATACTGTTATATTTCCCACTAGTCTGCCAGAGTATTATCATCATGTCCATCATTATAAGCTCGGGAAATTTACACTCCTTCTTTTAGTCTTGAAAATTGCATCTGCTAATCAAAGAATTGTATTTTTTTTAGTATTATCAGTTTTATTGTCAGATCATAATGACATTGGGGATTGCTAAGGGAAACCGATAGATAGTCTGAAGTTCTGTTCAAATCACAAAATAAACAAATAAAACATGAGGATAATTAATATTTATAATCTGAAATAATTTGCAGCATATTTTATTCAAGTAATGAAGAAATAAAAAGAAACTGCTAAGTAACCTTCTTCATGTTCTTATATAGCAGTCACGGGTGCTTATCGTATCCAAAATGATATGGGTTGGTTGTAAGGTGTGCAATATATAGATTACGAAACACTTTTTAATACAATTCAAGACAAAATTTAGGATTTATCAATGCAATGACATAACTTTAAAAAGTGAGTCCATTTATCAGTAAAATACAGAATTTAAAAAAATTCAAACCTTTTCACGGTCTTGAACGGATTAGCTTCTGTCAAAGTTTCATAAATATCCATGAAGGTTTACAAATTTATCATGTCAAAAAAGTTTAATCCCAGTCTGTCTGTAAATATAATGTTAACTGTAAATAAACTGTTATCACAGAGATATGTCTCGCCTATTTGTAAATTTGATTATGCAAATGTTGAAATTAAAATATCAATACTTTAACAAGTTACATAAGTTATGCAAATATTCAAAGTCAATGAACCATGACTGAGGTACATGGCTAAACAATCTCCATGTAAATGAGATGTGCCAATGCTAATACAACTGCATACTAATTACCATTGACTTATTATAGTTCGTTCCCTTTAAACAAACCTAAACACAAACATTAACTTTTAAACTATGTAAAAGTTTCAAAGTCAATGAACCATGAAGAGGGGGTGGGGCTATATAATGTCCATGGCTATGATACTTGCAAATGCCAATAAATTTGCATACCAAATATCATTGACTTAACATTAGCAGTTCATCTTAAACTGATCTAATCACAAACTAATACATGTAACAAACCTAAACACAAACATTAACTTTTAAACTATGTAAAAGTTTCAAAGTCAATGAAATATGAAGAGGGGGTGGGGCTATATAATGTCCATGGAAATGATACTTGCAAATGCCAATAAATTTGCATACCAAATATCATTGACTTAACATTAGCAGTTCATCTTAAACTGATCTAATCACAAACTAATACATGTAACAAACCTAAACACAAACATTAACTTTTAAACTATGTAAAAGTTTCAAAGTCAATGAAATATGAAGAGGGGGTGGGGCTATATAATGTCCATGGAAACGATACTTGCAAATGCCAATAAAGTTGCATACCAAATATCATTGACTTAACATTAGCAGTTCATCTTAAACTGATCTAATCACAAACTAATACATGTAACAAACCTAAACACAAACATTAACTTTTAAACTATGTAAAAGTTTCAAAGTCAATGAAATATGAAGAGGGGGTGGGGCTATATAATGTCCATGGAAACGATACTTGCAAATGCCAATAAAGTTGCATACCAAATATCATTGACTTAACATTAGCAGTTCATCTTAAACTGATCTAACCACAAACTAATACATGTAAACTAAGCAAAAGTTTCAAAGTCGATAGACCATGACTGAGATGTTCTGATGCTTAAACAACTGAATACCAATTAACATTGGCCTACCACTAATGGTTCCCCTGGAACTGACCTAATCACAAACTAATACATGTTAACTAAGCAATATTTTCGAAGTCAATAGACCATGACTAAGGGGGTGGAGCCAAATAATGTCCATGGAAATGAGATATGCCAATGCTTATACAACTGCATACCAAATATCATTGACCCACCACTAGTGGTTCCCCATACACTGACCTAATCACAAACTAATACATGTAAAATAAGCAAAAGTTTCAAAGTCAATAGACCATGACTGAGGGGGCAGAGCCAAAAAACTCCATGGAAATGAGATGTGCCAATGCTAATACAACTGCATACCAAATATGATTGACCTACCACTTGTGGTTCACTATAAACTAGACCTAATCACAAATTAAAACATTGTCGCCGGAAACAGCATACCTCTGTCTCGCATTTTGACTCCGTCAAGGCGAGACAAAAACTTAGTCCATCTATCAGAAAAATACTGAAAATATAAAAAAATATATTTTCAAAAGTTTGTTTCAGACATAATCACCTAATAAAAAAAAAAACTTCTAACAAAAGTTTCATAAAATTCAATGAGGGTTTGATAAAGTAATTAATGTGATCTATTTGTTAAATGTAAAGTCCATTTATCAGTGAAATACAGAAAAATGAAACTAATATATTTTTTAAAACTTTTGCCCTGGATACTGTATTTTGGTCTTAAACAAGCTTCTGTCCCAATTTCCTAAAATTCCATGAAGGTTTGACAAAGTTATTGATGTCTAAAAAAAATTTAACCACAGACTGAACCTTAATGTTGACGCCCCCGCGGACATCTATGATCACTATGTCTTGCTTTTGCGACATAAATGTGGCAGGCTTGACAAAAATACATACAGAAAAAAAATGTAGCACATTTCATAAAAAAAGTCTGAAAGATTTAATGAACAATAATAAATTAAATGTGGAATAAAAAACTATAATTCTATTTTCAGAATTTCTCTTATGTAAATAAAAAATATGGCAGACATTAAAAGATAAAATTGACGTGGTGAAAAAGCTGAAAGCTATAGCAATGGCTTTGAATTATTTCAATGAAAAGAGGAAAACTTTTTAGAAAGAAAAAAAAAAAAAAAACAGTTTAATTGGCAGAATTGTCTAAGAGTTTAACAAAAAAAAGGAGATGTGGGTGTTCGTCTATGAAAAAGGCACCACACATAAAAACAAACAAAAAAGACTAGAGGGCTTCACAGTCATCAACAACTATTTTGAACTGATCTTTTTATCCTTTTACTGTAACATTATAAATGTTCACAAAAAATCAATCAAAGCACGAAAGTGCTGTAAAGGCAGTTAATTACAGGTTGTGTGTATTTTAAGTCCAGTTATATCATTATCTTGCATAGTACAGTGTACTTATCAGAGGTGGCTTTCAGTATTTAAGATTTAGAGTTCTCTAATGATATTGAACAAGTTTTATGAATGTCATATTCTGAGCACTATATGAAGGCGATTGTTCTCACTTGATTATGAACTAGTGCATTATGTCCAGTTTGTACCTTTTTTATCTATGTTTATAGTCAAATTAGTTATCAAAGGTACCAGGATTATAATTTAATACGCCAGACGTGTGTTTCGTCTACATAAGACTCATCAGTGACGTTCAGATCAAAATAGTAACAAAGCCAAACAAGTACAAAGTTGAAGAGCATTGAGGACCCAAAATTCCAAAAAGTTGTGCCAAATACGGCTAAGGTAATCTATTCCTTGGATAAGAAAATCCTTAGTTTTTTCATTGGCAATCATAACACATCTCCTTATTTATATAATGATCTATATTCAACGACCTCAGGTACAAAAAAAATGTATGTAACTAAACTATGATGGGAAATCTTTGACTTCTTTCTTTTATATAAACTTTTGATTTGGTACCATAGAACTATGTAGAGTAAATGTACATTGCAACATGTCAACTCTTTCAACTCCAAGCAAAATTATATTTCGAAGCATAAAGTAATTTATGAATGAAAAAAAGGAGTTCTTAATTAAGAAATAAACTGATTCGCTGAGCGCAGCTGGATACACCCGCAGAGGTCCAACCCTGAACAGCTGGGG